ATTTAGAACATTCTGGAAGAAAAGAACGAGACTGGAGCAGGACTTGAACCCGCAACCTTTGCTTACTGGGCAGTGTGCTTGCCAGTTACATGATCTGGACCTTGAGCAAGTCTTCACTTCCAGATGTATTTAATAAGAGTGGAGCAGAGGTTGTGGGTTCAAGTCTCACAACAGGCTTATTCTTCTTTTCCAGAATGTTCTAAATTATTTAATAATTTAATAAAATTATTATAATTAAGTTAGATAAGAGATGACACCTAACATTACCTCCAGTACCAAATTACTTAGTTTCTAGTTATTAATTATAGCATAATATTAGCCCAATTAATTACAGCGATTGTTTGGATTAATTTATTTTGAATATTTGGTATTACAGACATGATTTGAGAAATATTGTCATTGGTGCTACCACTTGCCCAGTTTTCACCCAGACAGTCCAGGAATCGACTCACTGTCCGGGTGAACTATTAATTTTGTCCAGGAATATCGTGTGCAACCTATTTTTTTTGCTTGTACGATTTGTATTCGTACACATCGCCAATATCCAATAGAACTAAGTCATCTGTAGTTGTTTTTCTTAATTTAGTTACTTACGTTACTCTTACCTAAGTCTCTCTAGTCCCTAACTGTAACTAATTTAGAACCAGCATGCACTGCACGTTATTTTTCGCATTGCAAAATGACATTGCACATGCGTCGGGAACTCCTGTTCAAACAGAACAGGAGTTCCCGACGCAGATCAGCCATCCAAAATAACCTGCCATCCAAATGCGAAAACCTCACCTGCCATCCAGATCAGCGATTTTGAAAAGATGGCAACACTAATTGTCATCTTATTAAACAACTTCTTTACTAGAACATCTTTTGATGGTAAAGCTATTAAATTAAAGGCTTTGAAAACATTTATATTAAATATTTGATTTCTTAATTGCCAAACTTTTGTTTTGTTTGATTATTTTATTTGAATTAAAATTCTTTAAGAATTGTTTTTCTTGATACAGTTCTTTAAGCTTTAACTGAATTAATTTTTTTGATGACATACATAGTTTTGTGTGTGTCATCAAAAGAAAAAAAAAGCAGAATTACCTTTAGAGACAAATTGTGTCTCAAGGTCATTCTGTTCCATGGCTAACCAGTTTGATAAGTCCATCTATAGGAAAAGTGTGCTTGCATGAAACGTAAGAAATAAGACAATGGACAATATGTAATCTGAATAATAATACTTCAGTTTTATTCAGGATTATCTTTAGTAATAATCTTGAATAAAGATTACAGTGGACAAAATTGAACAATTTACTATCTCTATCTAAACTTTTAGAATGTAAAAATAATTATGGTTGATACTGTTTATACTATAATTAAGGTATGTGTACATGACAACATTTACACTTTAATTTCTAAATCTAGTATATACACTGAAGTATCATTTACATAGTGCTTAGAATTACGTCTCTAGACTAATTATGCAATTATCCCCACCTCCTCAGCAGCTTACTTGCAACTGAATTAAACACCAGAACAAATGCTGAGCTTACTGCAATTTAATATTCAAACACTTTCAGCCTATTCCTATAGGCCATCCTCAGGAAATTATCATTCCACAAATGAGCTTTCGAATACTCATAAAATTTAAAGTTTTTGAAAATTTTTAAAAATTATTACATTAAATTGTTAAATATTAAATAAACAACAAATTACTAATACATTATATAATCAAATAAAGGTAAAAATAAAATACTATATCGAAAATACATTAAACTAGTTAAAGCATAACTGCCAAATCTTTTTACGGGTTTTTAACTCTCATTTCTTTTTCTATTACATATTTTCTGGCTGTTGGGAGAGCATTTGCGTCTTTTGCATTTAAGCAATTATTGTTCACTTTACCCTTATATATTTCTATCTTCTCTATATCTAACACAATCGTCGGAGAATGGATTGTCTTAACTATTCTTGCTTCATCCCATTTCACATTTGCTCCTTCTGTTTGTGCCATGACTGCCAAAACTGTGTTATTATGCCCTTTATTCATGTCATATTTGTGCTTTCTTAAACGTATTGCCAAGTTTCTTTTAGTGACCCCCAATATAATCTTTTGTTACTCCCAACTGCTGATTCTCAAAAGGAATTTTATAGACCCTGACTTTATCTTGCATTCTTACTTCATCTTTATCATTCCTTAGCTGTCTGTATATGTTTGGCGCTCTTTTATACACCATTTTCGTGTTTTTATATCTACATAATTCTTCCATCACTCCCTCCATACTCCTATTGTATGTGAACTTGTTGATCCTATCTCATCTGCTTCCATGTTGTCTGTAACTCTTCATCAATCCTTCGATTGCAGTTGTTCTGAATCCTAAACCTTTTGCCACTTTCTTAATTCTGCTTATCTCCCTAAGTCGATCTTGTACGTTAGTGCAATGCAAGAACGCTCTTTTAACAAGTGCCTTGAATGCTGTTAAACAGATCATTTGATCATGTTGGCATATGCAGCGATGCAAACATGGGTTTTAAGTACATGGCTGTTTGTATACTGTCCATTTTAAACCTTATATTAATGTCCAGAAAATGTAGATGCATATGGCTTTTTTGTTCCAGATTTATCCTTAACCCATGATGATTGTCATTTATTGCAATTATATGTCAGAGAAAGTATTAGTAGTAGTATTAGTAGTAGTAGTAGTAGTAGTAGTAAAACAGGTATCACTCTTTGATTCAACCTGTGTTATGAAAAAGGGGGAAGATGGGGTGGGGTGAGAAAGGAAAGGGAATGAAGAAAGGGTTGGGATCCATGGTCATCCCATGACAGTGCTCTATAAGGAAATGTTCAGTAGAAATACAATAACAATAACAAGAATTTTACAGAGGAATATATGTTGGGAGTGCTGTGTTACAAATCGCAGATAGCACTAACATATGTATAGGTAATAACATATAAGCAGTGTGCAGATTAATTAATTAACTGTGCATAAACTAAATACAGGATGGGTGCTACATGCCAGATTGCAGATAGCCCAAACAAATTATCAGGTTATAAATGTAATTACAATTGACATTCTTAGTCTAATTACACTAAAAGCACAGACATAGTGATTTTTATTAATGTGTAGTGTTAACATCATAGTTCAGTATATTTGCATGGTTACAAGGGTTCTGCTGCTGACTAAATGTTTCTCGTTATCTCTGTAAGCACTTTGATGCTCTGCAGATAATTATTCAGGTGATTGTACATGTCTTTCTCATATACTAGGGTTGTAGCAGACATGGCCAGTTATGGTTGTTACAAAGTGTAGTCTCAATGAGTCTTTCTCTGTTGCTGTTGAAGAGTGGACAGTCAAACAATAGGTGAAGATAGTCTTGTTTGGTAGTCATGTTGCACCTGCAGGTCTCGCTGTCCCGTAGCCGGAACCAGTTGAGGTAAGTGTTGAAGTTCTGATGGCCAATTTGAACTTGAGTCAAGGCAAAGTTGGGAACAAGATGCCTACAACTCAGCCTGGCAGAAATGTCTGGAATGAAGCCTTGAGTAGGATAGCCTGTAGTGCAGTTGTTCCAATCTTCTTGCCAAGTTTGCAAAAGTTGGTTATGGATCCATTTATGGATAGTGGAAGGCAGTATCTTACTATAAGAACAAGGAAAGGACGAGACCGCAGCTCTTTTGGCAAGAGCATCAGCTGCCTCGTTTCCCTCTCACCCCAGAGTGGTCACAGACCCAGTTAAGGGTGATGTGATGATGATGGTTATTACTGATAAGTATTTTCTGAATGGTGGTAACATTGTAGCCATTGTTGTTGGTATTGGAAATTGAGTGGAAAGATGTAATGCTGTCTTGTGTAGATGACTATTTTCTTTTTTCGAGTGAACCAGTCTTCATTGATATGATGGAGTGCCTTGGTGATGGCCAAGATCTCTGCCTGTGAGATGGAACAGTACTCGCAGAGCTTGAAAGCAGATCAGTGAGTAATATTGCCTGTGTTGTTGTATGTGATAAAAGCTGTGCCCACTTGATCCTCTTGCTTGGAACCATCCGTGTAGATTTTATAATTCTGGTCATTCTCATTGTGGTAAGTGAGGTCCTGGATGTTCATGAAAAGAGTCATATCTATATAGGAGTTTGGAATTTTTTTCTTGATGCCATTGGTAATGAAGTCTTTGGTAGATTTTGTCAGGAAGGTTAGGAAGAGTTTTGTGCTGAATTTTATGTTTCTAGTTAGAGAGGTTAATCATGTTTTTGAGATTCCAGGACCACATAGCTGCTCTAATTTTAAGGTATAGAGGGCAGAGTCTGCTTATGACCAGAAGGGCTGAGGTGGGTGCAGTATGGTAGCAATTCACAATGCTGCAATTCTCTAGATTTTGTTAAATTTTTTGATATTTGCTTGCTTGTAGGTGGCTTTCCCCAGATAGGGGCAGCATAGAGTATAATGAGCTCTATGGCACCCAAATATTGCACAGTGGGTAACAGTTGAATAAGCAAGATAGCAATCATCTGCATGTTTAGCATCGTTATGGTGCCAAAATTCAGACTTACCTTATTAGTTTATTGGTCATTTACAATGCGTTACACATTACAACCCATTACAATGCATTTAACAAGTTCCTCACTTTGAAAACCTAAAAAAAAACTAGGTTACCATACAAAGTAATTATAACATATAACTTATTTCATAAACAAGTATTAAATTAATAAAAATTGCCATAAAAGTTTTTATTTAAGCTCTAGATTCCTTAAGTCTGGCAAATTGCCAGATTTTCTGGACACTATTTGATTTATTTGAAAATTATAAACTAAATATTTTGATTACAATTTTCAATATTGTCTGGTGATTTCACTTAAAAATTGTTATTAATTTATAAAAATTGATTATTTTCAAGCCAAAAGTAATTTCCATTATCTAACTAAAGTATTTTTTGTTCTTAGAATTTTGGTTTTATATGCTTTGTTAATAGCTTATTGAAGAAGTGTATTTTTAATAATTCTTCAAGTTATTTACTAAGTTTTAAATTAAAAAATTAATTTGAAACATTTTTTATGATAGGAACTGGAGAATCTGGTAAAAGTACATTTATTAAACAGATGAGGATTATCCATGGATCTGGATATACTGATGAAGATAAAAAGGGATTTATTAAGCTTGTGTATCAAAATATATTCATGGCAATGCAGAGTATGATTAAAGCTATGGATATGTTAAAAATCCCATATAAAGATCCTAGGAATCATGTAAGTTGTTTTTAAAAATTTAAATAAGATTTATCTTAAGCATTATTTTAAATATTAATTTATATTGTTTTAAAGAAATAAAGTAAAATAATTTTAATGTGCAAATTGAAAAAAAAAGTAGTACTGAAATGATAGATAAAAATATCATTTGTTTTATATTAAAAAATTTAGTATTTAATGTCGGAATTGAATATTGATGAGGCATTACAGTAGAGCGTCTTTTATCCGAAATGTCGGTTATCCGAAGGAATTCCAGTCAAAAAATTTAAATTTTTGCCAGTGCTGTGGCACTGTAATCTTTGGCTATGTCTTCGGCTACTCAAGTATTTTACGTTTTTGATACTAAATTAACTTCTGAAGTATAATTTTTTATTGTTTTTATATTTTTCAATATATTTATTTTGTTTGTACAAAATAAAAAAATAATTTTTAACGATACAATAGTCTTTGTTAGGCTTAACATCGACGAAAATTCAACGC